TGATCTCCTTGTATCATAATCATCTCCTCAGGAAAAATAATCTTTGAATAAAATTTAATAAACTCCTATAATCCCGGTGTCAAATCTACAGTCATACTGGGTTTCGTGTGTCAGCTGGTGTCTTGTGTTCCTGATACATCCTTTAATCTAGAGGAAGGTATTGGAGGGACAGGTGTTTATGATGCTATGACAAAAACAGGAAATATTACAATAATAACAATGATAGACAGACTGAAGGGTATACAATGCGAGTGTAATGGAGTACTCCGTGTACTCTTGATTGTGTTTGGACCTTAAATATTTAATATTAAATTTAATTTCTCTCTCTCTCTCAATAACAAAAAAATGTTAGAAATAAGAATCTCTAAATCAATAAATAAAACACCAATAATAGCAAGATGGATAAAGTTAGCACGCAAACTTCGATGTTTGCTTGTGCTGGTGAAATGGTAAAATGTTGTCAATGTTCATATGAGTAACATAAACCAATCCCCAAGCTCCTATAATTACCCTAAGCTGAGATAGAGCTATGGTTAATCGGTTGCTATCGTAACCAGTCTAGTTGATATGGAGGGGACAATGACATAGTATACCATTGCTATGATAACGAGTCTGGTTGGTATGGAGGGGTCAATGACATAATATAATGATAGAGATATGCAAAGAGATTTGCTAAATAACCTTGAAATCTCCAGTTGCTCCTGGAAAAACATCAGCACCGATATTTAAGCAGAGAAGAAGAAGCGAGGCAAGAGAGCAAATCACAAGGTTTTGCGATACAGAGTACTCTGTAATTCTTGTTTTAATAATTAAAATAACTATATTTGAATCTTCTTTTCCGGTGGTTCTTCCCCTGAAACCAACATGCACAAAAATATAAAGCAGATTTTTGATTTTTTGGACAGCAGGCTGTTTCTAAAAAAGTGAGCTTTTAAATTCTGCTTAATTGAACAAATCAAAATATGATGTCAGTGAATGAGGCAAAGCTGTGCTAAATTGTAGTTATTTGGGAAAAGCATAAATTGTAGGATAATTAATGCTGTTTTATAAACAAACCACACCATAAACTCTAAAGTGGAATTAATTTAGAACATTTGGATACAATAAACATGAAACACACATCATTTGTACATCTACTCCAACACTTTTCATGGCTCTTTTTATAGAACAGAAATGTTCAAGTTCAAGTTCGTTTAATTTATATAGCGCTTTTCACAACAGACATTGTCTCAAAGCAGCTTTACAGTAAACCAACAAGTTTAAACTCAACAAAGAGAAAAAATTAATTACTAAGTGATGTATATGTCCCTGATGAGCAAGCCTGGGGCGACTGTGGCAAGGAAAAACTCCCTTTTGGAAGAAACCTTGAGAGGAATCGGACTCAAAAGGGAAACCCATCCTCATTTGAGCGACAACAGCAGTGTGATTTATATAAACTATAGTATAAACAGATGATATGGTAGTATGAACAGATAATGTAGTATAAACAGATGATATAATAAAATTAACATAAACAGATAATATAGTATAAACAGATGATATAATAATATAAACATAAACAGATAATATAGTATAAACAGATGATATAATAATATAAACATAAACAGATAATATAGTATAAACAGATAATATAATATAAACATAAACAGATAATATAGTATAAACAGATGATATAATAATATAAACATAAACAGATAATATAGTATAAACAGGGGGGTATTCCAGAAAGCAGGTTATGTGACATACCTGGGTATGTTTAAGGATAAGTTCGTGGATAACCTCAACTTTCCGTTTCAAAAACGGAGGTAACTTTCTGGGTATGTATGTAACCATAGCAACTGACTCTCTGAAGATAACCTGCTCGGGAGCAGGTTATGTTTCAGTGTAACTTCGTTTCAGAAGGTTGGTGAGGATCCTGTGGACGTAGAAGCACAAATTATACGAGGTTTTTTTTTCGTCGGGAGAGGGTTATAAGACCACGTATTGATCCTGTGGACGTAGAAGCACAAATTATACGAGGTTTTTTTTCGTCGGGAGAGGGTTCTAAGACCACGTATTGATGTGTTTGCAAACCATAATGAATATTTGAAAGAGCGTTATCGTTTTTCAAAAGATTTGTTAGTTTATTTAACACGTCTTTTAAAACCGCATATCGCGAATGTGACAAACCGCGGTTCTGCGCTTAGCACAGAAAACATTCTGTGCATAGCTCTTAGGTTTTTTGCGTCTGGACATTTTTTGTACAGTGTGGGCGATTCAGAGCATGTGGGAAAGGCAACTGTGTGTAGAGCCGTTCGTACAGTATGTCTGGCACTTAAACAGTTCTTACCCACGTTTGTACAGTTCCCAGTTGTAAACCTCTGCTTGTTATTAAAGACGAATTCCACAGAGTGGCAGGTTTGTCCTTTGTAGTAAAATCTATGACGCATATTTAATATTTTGTCATATTATGTATATCTATACATGTATTAATTATTTTCGTAGTGATATAACATATTCAAAAGGCTGTATGAGTCATACTTCATTATTTTGTATTATAATAAAACGGGAGCCAATATCAAATGTGTAATTTAATACACTCACGCATTTACTCTGTCCGTTATTTTTTGCCAAGCCAACTCTCTTGCTTTAGCTGATGCAGCTGTATTGCTTCTTTTTAATATTATTGGCTTAAACTCCTCATAAGCGTGCATTAAAACCTCCAACTCCGCCTCTGTGAAATACGCCGCTCTCTTTTTTTCGCTTTGACTTTCCATGGTGACTCGTGAAATCGCCGATCCATTGAAAATGTCTTTATATATGCACCGTGCATGCGCATTAACTCTGGGTAACCAGTTGGAGGTTGATTAAACTTACTCTTCTCAGGTGTTTTGGAACCAACATACTCATGGTATGCCTGTTTAGGGTAAATCAACCCAGAGGTTATGATTTATCATATGGTAAGTTAACCAAGCTTTCTGGAATACCCCCCAGGTCTCTGTGAGACAGAGTGCATCAAGATTATTATCTGTGATTAACTCATTGACTATGAGCACTTTGGGTGCAAGTGATCTAATGTTAAGAAGCCCAAACTTTAAGGTGTGTTTGCTCGCCTGCCTTGTTACAGTTTTAACTGTAATAAGATTATTCCTTGGTCTTATAGTGTATTTATTTCTTGATTTAATTATACGGGGGATAGACACAGTTTCTATGCTATTTGTAACTGTAGCTATATGATTGTCTGTACGGCACATTACATCTACGATAGTATTGTATTTGCTTACCAGTCAGAGGTCATGCAGCATCCTCGACATGTTGTCTGATAAAGCTGCCGCTCCGACTCGGCTCGGGTGCAGGCCATCTGGACGGAAGTACCTAGGACGCTCCCAGAAGAGATTCCAGTTGTTAATAAACAATAATTTTTGCTCTCGACACCATGATTGTAGCCATTCGTTCAAAGCAAACAATCTACTAAACTTCTCTGCTCCTCGCTTGTACGTGGGCAGCGGTCCAGCGGCAGCGGTTGGTGATGTGCTGCGAACCATCTCCACCAGAGTCCTGAAGTCCCTCTTGAGGATCTTTGACTTCCTCAGCACGGTGTTGTTCGTTCCAGCGTGGAGAACAACGGCTCCGACGTTCTCGTTCAGGATCGCGGGAACCTGCGCAGCGATATCAAGCACACGAGCACTGGGAAAACAGCGAGTGTGTGCCTTACCTTTCGGTACTTTAGGGCGAAGCTGTCCTGCGTCGAGATCTCGAAGGCTGGTGGTGGTGATGTCCACGATCGCGGCTGAGCTCTTGTCTTTCGCTGATGTTGCACCCAGGGTCCACGGTGTCCTGGCATCAGAGTAAACGACACCACGGTGGTCCGTGTTCTCAGTGCATTGTGCCTGGGCAGAGAAACACGGGGCGTAGAGGTGGTGGGACGATTAGCTTCAACACTCACCTGAGCCTGGTGAGCGTTTGATTGGGGGCGACACTTGGCCTTCCAGTTAGAAGGTTGTCGGTTCGAGGCTCGCCGCTGACCTTCCTGGTAAGCGTTTGCATGCTCTCCCGGAGCTTGTGTGGGTTTCCTTCCCCCACAATCCCAAAAACATGCGGTTAGGTTAATTGAACAATCTAAATTCCTCTTTGTTGACCAAGGTGTACCCCCACTTCGCGCCCAATGTGCGCTGGAGATGGGCACTGACAGACCCCCGTGACCCCAAAAAGGGAATAAGCGGTTTGAAATGAATGAATGATTTTGATTGGCTCTTTGATGGAGACCGACCAACAGCTTTAAAAACAGGAAGACACTGGGAGATGTAAACTGTGAGTAACACTTTTTTATTATTATTAAATTAGCCATTGTTTTAATTCCTTTGTATTATGTTCAACACTTAACTTACGTTAATTTTGTGGCAGTTAGCTATTGTATTAAACAAATGGAAACATCAACCAAAATCATGACAGAGCGTTTGAACAGCCCGTGACGGTTGTTAACATTAAAGTTATGCCATCATTTCAAATTAAAGTGCTGAAATAGTATAGTAATAGTATGTTTGGCGTTGACATGGTACCTTAAGCTCAAACAGCTCTGGTGGATAGCCCTAATATATGTAGCGTGTGGCGAGAGAGACACAGACACACTGGCACTGTTCAAGGCCACACAGGGCGTTTATTAAAAATATGGCACCATAAATAAAGGTTAGCTTTCTGTCAAGTTGTGTGGAGAAGGCCAGACAAGTGGGGGCTCCCAAGTAGTGTGCTGGGAGTGCTCCGGGGAGCCTTCACCCCGATTAGTCCAGTGGCACATGGATTTCCAGACCAGAGGGGTAGAATGTCGCTGTGCTGGTGCATCCGCCATGCTCTGACTAAGTGGATCCACCCAGCACACACACAGCAGTGAATAAACACCCTGTGAACACACACCGGGACAGCAGCGGCGCCCAGGGAGCTAACTGGTGACTTTCTCAAGGTCACCACAGTAATGGTTGTCTTAGGAGGGAGAAAGTTTCAACACTCATCCCACCTTCGACTCCTAGTGGAGCTGGGGATCGAACCTTTTGATCTACAGTCAATCATCCTATCCACTAGGCCACTAGACTGTCACAACATATTAGGCTTCAAGAGGGAAAGCAGGAGGTTGCCCCTCGGTTGGTACATGTCATTAAGCAGATGGATGGGGATTATAAAACTCTGTGCCCAGAATGAGGCGAGACCTAATGCAACCGAAATTAATCTATAGAGCTTGGATACAATGTATTAAAAATAAAGAAAAATTTTTTTTAAAAAGGAATTAAAAATAAACCCTAAAACGTATTATTATTATTATTATTATTATTACTAAATAAAAATATATATTAAGTGATGAAAAAACTTGGTAATCTTACAACTTCTAAAAGACATAAAAGAAATTTAAAGAAAAAAGAAAAAATACTAAAGAAAAATCTAAATAATACACGAACTTGTTCATTTCGTGATCCAAACTTCTGATCCAGCTGGTGGCGGTATTGCACCATAAGCAAACTTCAAAATAACAACAGAAGAAGAATAAGAGGCTAGCTAGACCGTCCCGGTTACCAACAGTTATGACATAGATATCCACAGGCTCCAAAGGAACTAGCACCTGGATTGAGACACAGCTACAAACAGCCAGCTCACAGTGCAGTATCGCTCCGCCGCGGCAGGTGGCAGTAACCTGCTCTGTGCTCTGGTCTCCTTCCGCGTCAGCTCACGCACACATCTATCGCGGGTTTCACTGCGGAGAGCGGAGCAGGATGGCGACAACACTGCTAAGAAATTTAACAAAGCTCTCCAACATAAATCTCTGGAATTATACAGCTGCGTCGGACGTTTCGAGGGGTAAGAAAAACCTTTATAACACGATTACGCGAGTGATGGGGCGTCAAAGGAGGAGGTTGGGCGAGGTGGAGAGTGGAGCCAACCAGAATTGGAAGCATAATGTTATTTAGACTTGAATGCTGTCGTGTTGTAGGTTCATAGTTTGATTCATAGACTGTAGAAAAAAGGACGGCGTGACACCAGCTATTGCGGTTGGACTCATACGAAGCCATTTCAGAGCTGGAGAGGAGGCTGCCATTGACTGCTGCACATGCGCAGTTTGCGCACAAGCTCTGAACCGTCGTGGTTTCAAAGCTCCGCCTCGAGTCTTGCTCACATACTCCCCTCTCACTCGCAGCTGTTATAAACAACTTATTTTGTAATTTTAGAGTATCATTGAATTTGATTGTTGTCAGCATAAACAATGTTTCTCACGACGTGATGCCAGTTCAATCAGCTCTGTTCCCCACCCCCCGCGCCTAGTTTTTTAATGGGAACATTGAACCACCATGAACCACACGTAAACAAACTTGAGCCAAGAAAAAACTATTGAAGGTTGTTCAGAGTATAGATAACTTTCAGAATCATCGAAGCCATTTGTGTAAATACCGTACTTTCTGAGGAAATCATTTTAAAAGTTTAGCTCTTTCCTTAGATTTGTTTTCGAGGCTCGCTGGTGACACTCCGGGGGGCAACACGCACATTCAATCAGGAATTTAGGTTCAATTAACCTGACACATGTTTTTGGGATTGTGAGGGAAACCGGAGTAAAACCCACGCAAGCACAGGGTGAACATGCAAGCTCCTTCCTAGAACCTTGCAGCTACCCACTGCACCACCATACCACCCCTTAATATTACAAATAGAGGTTTACCATCACTGCAGTAGGCTCAGCCACAGACGTCACGGCCACTGAACGTTGATGCGTTTTTAACAGTTTTCTGGCCTGTGGTGTGTAACAGGTTGAGTTCATTAAACCCCTCACTGTGATAATTGCTAATATTTCTGAACCATATCTCGATACCCACCCCAATAATAGTGTAACGATCTACAAAACTTTATATACCTTTAATTTTCTTTAGTAGTCGTAAAATTTTCCCTATTGGGAGCTCAATAGTGAGAGTGATTCATTCGGGTCTGGGGTGGCGCTAAAGAGCTAAGAAGCTGAAACCGGAACATTGCGAAGAAGAGTTTTAACCGGAAAAGCGGCAGTGAAAGAGAACATAAGCGGAATGTCGCGTTGAGAGAGAGAGAGAGAGAGAGAGAGAGAGAGAGAGAGAGAGAGAGAGAGAGATGCAACATTTTTTGCTTTGGGGTTTCTTTTATGAGTAATGTCTGTTCTACCAAAGATAGGGTGTATGACTGACATCTGACAAGACATAAAGCTTGCATCCTGATAATCTCTCTGATAAAAAAAAATAAATAAAAATAATTGACCGAGTAAAACCGGTCTGGCACCCCAGCAAAAAACAAGGAGAGTGTTACAATATCACCATCAGAAACAACATGACACGGCTGAAGTGAACCCGTTCCGCAGACATTATGCATAGTTAATGATGACACAGCAGATTCCACCAGTCATTTCTTATATATTTTTTTCTGTGTTTGTAGGTGTTCGACACAAAACCACAGTTCAGTATGTCACTCGACCAGATTTGCCAAAGCTGGCATACAGGAAGCTGAAAGGGAAAAGTCCTGGGGTGGTTTTCTTGCCAGGGTTTGCCTCAAACATGAGTGGACAGAAAGCTGAAGCATTAGAGGAGTTCTGCAAATCTTTAGGTCACTCGTGCCTCAGGTAATCACTGGACTGCTTCATCATTGGAACATGATAATCATAATTTATTTTGTAATAACTGAATCACAATCAGTGTTTCCTTTGGGTTTAGATGTTTACACTTTCCATAAATCATATTTACATATATTTGCTTCTCAAATATCACCATCTTTGTCCTCTACAAGATATATCTAACAGAAACTATGGACAATCAATGATCTACAGAGGAACGTCTTGGGCAGGGTTAGGGTTAGATCCACGTTTGTTATCTTTTCTGTTAGATCCACGTTTTTTTTTGTTATTGTTGTTGCAGGAAACGAGAACCCAAATGCAGGTGGATAAGGAATAAACGTTATTCAGCAGACTATTTTGGGAAAACCAACAAATGTCCTCGCGGTAGAGAGAAAACCCATTTTATCTTTAACGTAATCTACAAACGCTGTCCACTGTATGTTTACAACAAATCACAAATAAAGTGAAGGTGATTGTGGTGTTTTTGTTTTTACAGTGCAACTAGTTTGTTACCACTTTAATAATGGCATTAAAAAAGAAATTTCACTGAGGGATTTTGTGAAGGATAAGTCATTAGTCGTGCAGAAGGAATCTTCCCCATAATTTGTGCACCCATGATTTATAAAATCTACAGAAGCATATGCTGTAAGTTTAATTTTTTTATTTCACCAGTGATTCATAAAAGTGAGAAATGTGAGAAGTTCTAGAATCCAGAGGAAATATCAATACTGGACAGTGTGTAAAATATACCACTGCTCTCTGTGGAAACTCATTACTTACCAAATTAAACACCTGTCAAATTCTGCCAAAATATCTTTGCTGCAGATATCCAATGCATTATATATCTTTTAAACATATCTGTTGATGCACATGAAACGGTGTCACTTCCAGGTCCTCCATTTGAACTGGCTAATGCTCTTCCTTTAGGTTTGATTATTCTGGCTGTGGCTCATCGGAAGGGGAAATCAGTCATTTCAACCTTGGGGCTTGGAAGAAAGATGTGCTGTATGTACTGGATGAACTGGTTGAGGGACCACAGGTGAGTGGATTGTATGAAATAAAGCTCTGGATATTTCTGAAATGTATCAGTGGCATTTCCCCTAAATACAATTGATCAGTTGACCACAAAAAAAAAAATTAAAACCTGGCTGTACTGTTGCACCCATGTCCTTTATTGAGATTCGCAGCCAGCTAAACTCTCTCTTGCATCACTTCCTCTAAGGAACAGGCAGAGGTTGTATTGAGCAGGATTTAATTAAAAAAAAGTGTGAAACTGAAATGAGACAAACAATACTGAAATCTCATCAGTACTAGGTTAATATACAGAATATTCACTGTCTATAGAAAACATTTTTAAAACACCATTGAAAATCTAGTGTCTAACCGTCAAACGAAGCTCAGGAAAGAGTTTTAGACAACTTGATGGCTTCAGATGGAGCAGGAAACAACCATTCTCCATGAGGCCATTGCGAAAATGAACATTACTTCCCAGTGTCTGAACGTTAACAGCAGATAAAAGCCACTTGCGACCTCCAGTGGCCTGTATGAATTATGTTCCATAACAGGAACAATGGATAAAAGGATGAAAACTGTTTCTCTCTGAGCACAGAAGGGACAGCCTTGTGCAGCAGGATGAAAAGAGTTCAGCAGCTCTGGTTTAAAACCATGGAGCGTCTGCTCACCCACGCAACAGTTTCTTATTTAAACACAGTTTAACCCGCTGTGATGGATGACATTCCGCATCCCCTCAGTCAGTCTGGAGGCTAATGTTTTTCAGAACAGCTTGCAGTCGGTGCACAGCAGCAGGAGACAGTTGTTCAGGAGGGTAACGGAGCTCTCCCTTGTTGGGTAACGGGGTCAGGACAGCTTCTAGCTTATCCACATCCTGCCCTAGTACATCCCAGAACCCTTTGTAAAACTCACAAGGGAGACCATCTTTGTCCATTCTCCATCCCTTGTAGTTCCTCATCTCCTTATCCAGCTTTTTAGAGTTGAGGCAGTTATGGATTATTGATTAAATTACAAATGGAGAATTATTATTATTATTTTTTTTTGGTTAAAAAATGAAACTAATAAGGGTCACACTTACTGATAAGACTCTTGTGAGGATAAGCTTATGCATTATCCTATAAGGATGTGACACTTATAGCCAGTGTCTGCAGGTAATTTGGAAGGGGAGAGGGATGGGTAAACTTTAAAGAATTCGGCTCCACAGTGATCTTTATACAAGAATCACTTAAAGAAGAAGTGGTGAAGGTTCAGAGGAGGTGGGTAGGGTCAGTGATGTCATCATGCTCTAGAGGGGTAATGATCTTAATACATAGAACATTGTTCCCCCTTAATTAAATATGATTATAGACAAATATTGGAGATATCTATGGATTATATGACCAATCTCGTAAACATTCATTCATTTTCCAAATTTCCCTTTCAGGCAGACCCACGTGACCCTGAAAGGGAATAAGCGGGTGGGAAAAT